AGCTCCCGCTAATGCCGCTGTGGGATCATGGCGGTGGCTGCCGACGGGATGGGGTCACCGATGTGGTTCCTGGATAGGGTAGTCGGGACCCTTGGGAGACGGGGGAATGAGACATCGAGCCGGGGCTTCGGACCTTGGTGACCTGCCGATGTCCGAACATGTTCGGTATGACGGGAAGAGTGGAGTGTGGAGAGCCTGGCACGCCTGGACGAGCAGACATGGCGGAGTCAATTGGCTCGGCTGCTAGTGATTCGACAGCCAAGTTGGTGATGGGAACTGGCTTGGAGTCTTCTCAAAGCATGCGCTCAAGCTGAAGTCTGGTCCCAGTCATTGGAATGTCACTAGGAGCTTTGGGTTGAGCCAAAGTCTGGGGATCATGTTATCTTCCAGAAAGAGCAAGGTAAGGTAAGGTAAGGGTAGCGAAGTAGATGCCGGCGAAGATGACATTGAGATGCACAATGAGCATGCTACATATGGCTATGAACTTTCTTAAGAATATGTGGCCTTCAATCGCGTAACTAAATGCGAATGCGATGTTGCAGTTCCTCAGAGGTACAGGTACGAAAGGGACACTCCAACCGCAGGCCTGTCCCTCATAATCCGCTGAGTAGACCAACCTCAAGGCAATAGGCAGCGCAATCGGGCCTCGGCGGTCACCCAAACCCAAGTGCCACACGATAGAAGGGATTTTTTCCATTTGCCGTTATCGAACAAGAATCGAAACGGTCAAGGTCATCTTGTCTCCTGGAAGCTCAATTGCCAAAGTACTCTTCAAAGTCGGGAACAAAGCGGTGAAGACAACTCACCGTGCGGGGTTCCAGGCAGGCGCTCGGTTTGCGTACACCCAACGACGTGCCTGCCTCTGGCGTGTAAGTGAAGGGCGTCTGTCTCCACGCCTTAGCATCGACATCACAACTTCATCATTCATCAAATCAACTTATCATCCAGCTCGGACCATCTAGACTTCATCATCAGAACAAGTCACAGATCAACTCATCAACACGAAACCAACTTCAAATAATTCCAACCACCATCCCGCCAACATGCCTACAGAAGGAGTCTACTACACCCCCAACGGCAAAAAAACCGTCATCCCCCTCGAAAACAACCCCGACGTCTTCACATCCCTCATCCACGACCTCGGCATCTCTCCCGAGCTAGGCTTCTTCGACGTCTACAGCCTCGACGAGCCCTCCCTCCTCTCCCTCGTGCCCCGCCCCGCGCTCGCCCTCATCTTCATCTCCCCGGCGCCAATGTACTACGCCGTCCGTTCCGCCGACGGCACGAAGCTCGCCAAGGAAGACGGGGTGACGTATGCTGGTTCCGGGTCGGGGGAGCCTGTGATTTGGTTTCGGCAGACGATTGGGAATGCGTGTGGGTTGTATGCACTCATTCACGCTGTGGGTAACGGGCCCGCGAGGGAGTTTGTGCAGGAGGGTTCGTTGATTGAGAGTCTGCTCAAAGAGGCGGAGCCGTTAAAGTGGGAGGAGAGGGCTGATGTGTTGTATAACAGCCTACCGCTTGAAGAAGCGCATATGAAGGCTGCGAGGAGGGGGGACACGGTGGCGCCGCCTGCGGAGGAGAAGCCTGGATACCATTTTATTGCGTTTGTGAAAGGAAAGGATGGGCATTTGTGGGAGTTGGAGGGCGGGTCGGATGGGCCTGTTGATCGGGGGTTGTTGGAGGAGGGGGAGGATATGTTGAGTGAGGGTGCGTTAGAGAGGGGGGTGAAGAGGTTTATTGGGTTTGCGGATGGGAACTTGGAGTTTAGTATTGTTGCGTTGGCAAAGAGGGAGTAGTGAGGTCTGGTGGTCTTGGTGGTTGTCGGTGCGTGATGTGTGATACGTGGCATGGGGATCGGCGTTGTTTGCTTTGAGGAACTCTAGATTGTAAAAGGGATTGGAATTTGGTATGCATAGCTTAGAGAACACATTCGTTTGCAGTTAACTTAATTCAAACGCCCTCCCTTGTTCTTATTCGAGTCACTTCAATGGTCCCTTAAGAATGATTCCGGAACTTGTTCCTTCCTACAGGCGACGCAAAGGGATTGCCCAATGTGGCATCTAATATGGGTGTACTCACATTGCTCACCGAAATCCCCAGTCCGGCTCCAGGTGTAGAAGATACACCGAGGTGAGGACGAGCAGGTAGAGGTAGGGAGGTGAGGGGTTCGGTGAGGCAGGGCGAACTCAGCCTTGAACCCCTCCATCTGCACGAGCCAGCCAACGGCCCCGCCCGTCCAATCAGCACGCGGCGCTGCTCCAACCATCGAAAGAGCTAGAAGGGCGAGCTTGGGCTGTTTTCTTTCCCGCCTCTGCTGCCTTTGACTGCCTCACCCCACGACGAGAATTCCAAGTTCTCTTTCTCCCCAATTCCCACACCACAAATCTACCAGATACCCTGACAACACGTCTACCTTGCGATTGCATTTGAAGTTCGATTTCGAGTTGATCCATTCCAAAGGTCATCCGCACATTTTCTCAGACACACACATACACACACATCACCATGGCTTCCGCAGACGAGCTCAAGGCTCTCGGCAACAAGGCCATTGCCGAGAAGAACTTTGACGAGGCTGTGTAAGTTTGTCTCTGCTTCCACCCCATATTCACGCAGCTGACAGAGTCCCAGCGCCAAGTTCACCGAGGCCATTGAGATCCAGCCCGACAACCACATCCTCTACAGCAACCGCTCCGCAGCCTACGCCTCCAAGAAGGACTGGCAAAACGCCCTGAACGATGCCAAGAAGACTACCGAGATCAAGCCTGACTGGCCCAAGGGATGGGGACGTCTGGGAACAGCGCAGTACGGTCTGGGTGACCTCCTCGCCGCCAACGATGCGTACGAGGAGGGCCTCAAGGTCGACCCTAACAATGCCGGTCTGAAGAAGGATCTCGCTGCCGTCCAGAAGGCGATGAAGTCCGAGGCTGGTGGTGGTACGTGAAAGACACCAACAAAGAAAAGAAAAAGGACCATGCTGACTGACTTACAACAGACGCTGGTGACCCGATGGGTGGCCTCGGCAACATGTTCAACGACCCCCAGCTCGTCCAGAAGCTCGCCGCGAACCCCAAGACGGCCGGTTTCCTCGCCGACCCCGCCTTTATGGCCAAGCTCCAGCAGATGAAGGCGAACCCCTCGGCTTCACCCGATCTGTTCAGCGACCCCCGCATGCTGCAGGTCCTTGGTGTCCTGATGGGCGTCGACATGCAGATGGGTATGCCCGACAACATGCCCGAGGACGCCGAGATGCGCGATGCTCCTCCCCCTCCCCAGTCGAAGCCTGCCGCGCCCAAGAAGGCCCCCACTCCCGAGCCTGAGCCCGAACCCGAAGAAGAGGACGAGGAGGCCATCGAGAAGAAGAAGGCCAAGGAGGCCGCTGACAAGGAGAAGGCCCTCGGCACCGAGAACTACAAGAAGCGCAACTTTGACGAGGCTATTGCACACTACACCAAGGCGTGGGAGCTGCACAAGGACATCACCTACCTCAACAACCTGGGTGCCGCGTACTTCGAGAAGGGCGACTTTGACAAGGCCATCGAGACTTGCTCAAAGGCCGTCGAGGAGGGTCGCGAGATCTATGCCGACTTTAAGCTGATCGCCAAGAGCTACGCCCGTATCGGTACCGCCTACGAGAAGCAGGGCAACCTTGACCTTGCCATCGAGAACTACAAGAAGTCGCTGACTGAGCACCGCACCCCCGACGTGAACGCCAAGCTCCGCGCGGCAGAGCGCAACAAGATCGAGTCTGCTCGTAGTGCCTACATCGACCCTGCCAAGGCAGAGGAGGCGCGTGAGGAGGGTAACAAGAAGTTCAAGGAGAGCGACTGGCCTGGCGCCGTGGCGTCGTACACTGAGATGACGAAGCGTGCGCCCAACGACCCCAGAGGATACAGCAACCGCGCGGCGGCCTTTATCAAGCTGCTCGAGTTCCCCAGCGCCGTCGAGGACTGCAACACGGCCATCAAGAAGGACCCGACCTTCATCCGCGGCTACATCCGCAAGGCGCAGGCCTTCCACGGCATGCGCGAGTACTCCAAGGCGGTGGATGCCTGCAGTGAGGCGTCCAAGGTTGACCTGGAGCACCACAAGGGCGCCAACGCGCGCGAGATTGAGCAGACGCAGCAAAAGGCTCTCAACGCCATGTACTCTGCGCGGGAGAACGAGACGGAGGACCAGACGCGGGAGCGTTTGGCAAAGGATCCCGAGGTAAGCATCCACAACCATGCGACCGGCACAGAGCGACCGGTTCCTTCCATCCGCAACTAGCGACTAGTTTTGGCTAACTTTGTGCACTAGATCATGAGCATCATGAACGACCCCATCATGCAGTCTATCCTCCAGCAGGCACAGTCGGATCCCGCTGCTTTGAACGAGCACATGAAGAACCCCGAGATCAGAGCCAAGGTGCAGAAGCTCGTAGCGGCGGGAGTTATCCGCGTCGGCCGGTAAGAAATCGGAGTGGCGTTGAGGTGAGGTGCTAGTGTGGGGAACGGGTGCGAAGGGAAGGAAAAAAGGTCACGCGTAATGGTTGGACGACGAAACGTTAAAAGGAGCTCACTAGGTCATTTGTAGTGGTTGCAATGTGACCCCAACAACAGAGATATTCCACGTGAGTGCTCTCAGATGTCTTGGAGCGTGATGAATGACTTGCCCTGCCCCGCGAAAATGAGATACTGTAGTTTTTAAGCCAGAGGAGTAAGTGAACGTTTGAAATTTGTGAGACATGCCATGCCGGAATGAGGTTTGCGATGGCTTGGGGTTGTAGTGGTGTGCCAAGTGAGGCCGTAAATGTCGACCCGTGTAAGTGTCACCCGTTGATGAGAATTGTCATTCGAAAAGACATGAGTCGGTGCCTTGGCTCGTCCCATATTAGAAGTGCAGTATTTGATACTTTATGAGTTGGCAGATCTAAGTCGCAGGATTTAATTTGCTTCTCTTCTCACTGATACCCTCACTTTGCTACGCCAGTTAAGCGTGTAGTTTCACCACCCACAATCATGGACTCACCCATGAAAGAAGGTATGTCTCAAGCCACTCATCTCATCTCATCTCAGCCTCATCATCTCAGCCCAAGACTAATACCGCATACAGCATACGTCCAACTCATCGAAGTCATCGCAAAAGACACCACAGACCCAGCCGCAACAGAAACCCACGTTCGCCAACTCATCGCCTCCCTCCCCTCCGTCCTCCGCGCCCGCGACGACGACCAGCGAACAGCCCTCCACCACGCCGCCCGCCTAGGCCGTACCGCCCTCCTCGTCGCCATCCTCGAAGCCAACCCTGACTCCGATGTCGACGTCCGCGATGTAGATCGCTGTACGCCATTACATCTTGCCGCGCGTAACGGGCACGAAGGGTGTGTTGCGACGTTGGTGTGCGAGGCGGGAGCGGACGTGAGAGCCGAGGAGAGTTTTCTCGAGACGCCGCTTCATGAGGCGAGTCGGGGCGGGTATGCGCGGATCGTGACGCTGTTGATTGAGAATGGGGCGGTTGTTGATGCGCCGAATCGAGATTTGGGGACGAGTTTGCATATTGCTGCGAGGAGGGGGAATGAGGATGTTATCAGGGTTTTGCTTGAGGCTGGGGCGAATCCCGGGACGAGAGATGCCGTTGGGGATACGCCGCTTCATGATGCTGCCAGGGGTGGGCACGAGGGTGTGGTGATGATGTTGTTGGGGACGGGGTCCGTTTCTATTGAGGCGCAGAACGCGAATGATTTTACGCCGTTGAGCGTTGCTGCGCGCCATGGGCGGGAGGCGATTGTGAGGATGCTGGTGGAACAGGGTGCGGACGTCGATACCATGAGCAACGAGTACTGCACGCCCCTTCACCAAGCTGCTTCCGAAGGCCACGATGGCGTCGTTCGTATCCTCATCGCCGCGGGCGCGGATGTCGATTTGCAGGATAAAGACGACCAGACCCCCCTCCACGCGGGCGTCATGTTCGAGCACGAGGCTGTTGTCGCCTCGCTGCTCGCCGCGGACGCGGATGTGGATGTCCGGGATACGGAGGACTGTACGCCGCTGCACCACGCCGTGAAGAACGAGAACAAGAGGCTCGTGAGGGATCTATTGGAGGCCGGGGCGGATCCGACTGTGATTTCGTCGACGGGGGAGACGCCGCAGAGTTTGGCCAAGTTGCTGAACCGCAACTCGATTGCGGATTTGTTCAACTCGCCGCAGGTTGTGCCGAAGCAGAACGTCGGACTCGATGTCTTTGGTGTTTTTGCTGCGGCCGGTGTTGGGTTGGGTGGAGGTGGTGGTGGCGGGAGAGTGAAGAAGACGCGCCCGCCGTCGAGACCGAATCAGGAGGCGGAGATTGAGGCGTGTAAGCACTTTAAGGGGTTATTCTGGTGTCCTTCTTCGGAATGCAGTTTCGAGAGTCTGAGTGTGTGGGATTTGCTGTATGATTCCGAGACGGAGGTTAAGTTGTCTCCGAGGCCGCCTCCGCCTCCGATGACGCTGCCGATGCCGGTGGCGTTACCGGCGCTGTCTCCACACTCGGCCGAGACGCCGGTCCGAAGCCCCGTTGGATCACCCACACGAAGCCCCGCGCGGTCGAGAGCGCATTCGAGAGCACAGAGCCCCGCGGGAAGTCCGCGGCTCTCGCCTCTTCAAACGCCGTCTCACTCGCCGCCGCATTCACCTCTGCTTCAACCTCCTGGGAGCCCTGGGTTGAACATGAAGGAGATGAGAAAGCACGTCAGCCAGCAGCGCCGCAAGAGTTCGCATACGACCGGTGGTGGCGGTGGTAGTAGCGGCGGTACTGCACGCACCACTAACAGCCACAAGGAAGACCACAGGCCTATCAAGCGGTGGTTCCATCTTCCTGCAAACAACGTCGCGTGGGTGATGGACCTCGTGCAGCGAATTTGCGCCGTGGACGGGCGGCCGGATGCCGAGTGTAACCGGATGATTACGTTCATCGAGGAGACGTTTCAGGAGATTCGGATCAGTGCGCCCTACCGGAAGCCGCATTTTCGGATGGAGGCTGCTACGGCTGCTGCTGCTGCCGGAGCGGCGACGGATGGGAGTGGTGGGACTGGGATGCCGGAGGTGAGTTTTGGATCGGAGGTGCCGGCCGGACAGGTGGCAGCAGCAGCAATAGCACCGCCGAGATCTCAAATGTTCTCTCTGGTACTCCCCGTCATCGACGTCGACATCGACGAGGGCACGAAGAGGAGTCTCCAGGACGTACACATCGGGGATGAAGCCAAGGTCTTTCGCCCGATGGAACTAGTCGGCGGCGGCGCGGCAGCCGTCCCGACAGCAGCAGCAGGCAACGATAGAAGAGCGCCACCGGTCCAGAGGCCGCACCCTCTCAGCGCGATGCCGACGAATCTGCAGCACTACCTCTTCCCCCATCTAGCGCACTTTGACGCCATGGCCAAGATGCGCGCGACGTTTACGAAGTCTGAGCTGCATGTCCCGAGATCGCTGGATCAGTCGTACCATGAGAGTCTCAGCGCGAGCGATCTTGCGCTGCGAAACGAAAGCCAGGTGCTATTCCGCTATCTTCGGCGCGTCGAGGGCCGACTGGCTGCTTCCGCCGCCTCCGCCGCAGGCACGACGCCAACGGGAACCACAGCAGCCGGGTCATCGACTGCAGGTGACACGATTGCAGAGGACGTACTAGGGAAGCAACCTCTAACCGAAGACGGCATCGCGTCGACGAGGGTGCATCAGCAGCAGCAAAAGACGCAACATCAACAAAACCCGTTTGATCGGCATGCGCAGAGGGCGTATTCGAGGCAGAGCAGCTCCAAGCAGAAGAAGACCGACGGGACCAAGGCGGAGCTGGGGAGGATGGCGGGGAGGCAGGATCAGGCGAGTAGTGTGCAGGCCAAGATTTCGCGGGAGAAGAGGAGGATGGACACGGAGAGGAGGAAGCAGATTTTGGTTGTTGCGCAGCTTTGGATTTGGAGGATTGATGAGCGTGAGTCCTTCTCTAGTCCTCCATTGTGACTTATCTTGCGCAGGCAGTATTTGAAAGACAGAGAACGGAGCCGGTGACCTTGGATGTTTCTCGGTGGTTTACGAAAGCTGACGATACTTTTGTTCTACAGACACCATCATCACCGCGTTCCCCGATCGTTGGGATAATAAGAACGCTAAGACGTTATTGAACCAGATCAAGCACCGTGTGCTGGGAACCAGGGACATGCGATCTGAGAACACGGACATGATGCGTGTTGTGGAGAGTATCCTCGAGAGCGCGGTGGAATACAGTGAGGAGGAATTCCACTTCCAATTCGAAGGGCCGCGGAGTTACTGTAACATCTTTGCGGCCTCCATTGCTCACGTTGTAAGTTTCTCTGTCTGTCTTTGCTGGCGGGTACAGTCCTCTACCTAGAAAAAAGGGGTGAACTTTGTGACAAGAGGTCAATCTTAGCTGACTTTGATACCAAAAACCAGTCCAACGAAGCAATGAAGCGCTACGCCAACTTCAAAGCCTCCATCAGCAAGATGGGCACCTCAAAGACGGTCCTCGACGACCTTCGCGCCGAGATTGAGCTCCTGCAGGAGATTGATGACGTCCGGGAGGAGATCAACATGATCAAGCGGGTTCTCCGGTCGCAGGAGCGGGTCTTTGACGGATTCCGTGAGGCGGAGGCGGAGCGGGTTGGGAGTTTATGCGGCGGAGTCGGAGCCGGGGAGAAGCAGGGTGGTGTTGTAAAGCCGTATAAGCACCCGACGTTGGACTTCTTCAAGAGGTTGGAGGAGGATGCGAATCGGGTTCGGGATTCGGTGAGTACTAGATTCCGTGTGAAGGTGTCTGGATGACTGCATCTGGGGAGCGCTTGCTATTGGGTACGTGTGGCTGACTGGGTGGTAGATTACAACTTTGCTGGATTTGAGACAGAGAGAGGCGAATATCGAGGAGGCGCTGTCTGCGAGCGAGCAGTCGAAGATTCTCTTCATCTTTACCGGAGCGACGGTCGTCTTTGTAAGTTGATGCCCAATCTTACCTATGTACAGCAAGGGATAGTGATGCTGACTTTTACAGGCTCCATTGTCTTGGGCAACAGGTGCGTAGCCTGGAAGAAGCCTCCTGGAGGTTCTTCCCAGAAAAGGCGGAAAGAGACTGACTATTTGAATAGGCATCTTTGACATCTCCATTGAGGGCGTACCATCGCCAATCAGCCCTGGAACCCTCATTCTCACATGCGGTAGGTCCCCTTGGCCACAACCCCCCCTCTTCACTCCAACGTCTAACTGACACAACCCCAGTCCTGAGTCTAGTCGCCACCCTCCTCCTCATTGCTCTCTCCCTTCAAATCTACGAATTCGTCACCACAGGCAAAGCGAAGCAGCTCTACCGACGCGTCTCCAACTTCTTCGAGGTCCGCAAGCTGGAGAAGCTGGCGGCTGCGAACCAGAGCAAGTCGCCGCCCTCGTCGCTCGGCGCGTCGACGCAGCTGAGCAGGCTGAGGAGGTCGTCTCTCTCGCAACCTGTCGCTAGCACGACGGCCAACGAGAAGAAGAAGATGCAGAGTGTGAGAAGGCGGCTTGCTGCGTTGAGAACGAGGGGGAGGGGGTTAGGGCGGGATCGGGATGAGGAGAGAGAGGTTACTGGGAAGCAGGTTTGATGATGGGATGGATAGACGGGGCGAATATCTTTTAAGACCGGCATAGAGAAGCGCTATTAACTGTGTATGATAAAGTCGCTTTTCTGATAACTAGACTTTGCGTACATTTGATGAAGCGGGTTCATTATTGTTACAATGTAGTCTGAACAAAGCGCGAGTCTCTCTGGTGTGCCGTGCCGCTGACCCGGAGGAGGCCCATGAGCCGCATCCGCGTATACGGCATACCTTACTTTAAAGGGGACATTAGGATTAGCTTCATAAATTGAGGTACTGTTTTAGTCCTTGTGTCTAGTATGCTCTTTAGGTGGTACCAATGTTATTTTACCCGCGCTTTAGTCTCTTTGGTCTTGCGAGGGATTTCGTTACAAAACTTGTCATGACAAAGAACTTGGGCAAGGAGCCAGGCTTCTTTACAACCACTACGCATCTCTTTCCGCTATCGGGCTACCATTACATACTAGGTGGCACCTATGGCTGGTACCAAGCAATCGTGAAGTGTGAAGTCCCCTCAACATGGCCAGCCTTATACTTCAGGGGAATCACGGATATGAGTCTCAAAGACACCACCTTTTTCTCACGGCAGCTTGATCAAGTTACGTAGGAGGGACCATATAGCGTGACAATTATGCTCGCTTGCTAAGCCGATACAGTGCTAAGTACTAATCACTTCAGGCTTGTAGACCAGCCCAACAACAGGGGTGACTCCAGTCTTCCACATCCATGGCAAGTAGATCTATGCATACCAAGTTGCATCGGCACGATCGGCCGGTCAAACGCCTTGAGCTCGGCCAAACCAATCTGAAGCCGTCAATTAGAAGTCCAGATGCTGTTCATGATCCTCGGCCTCCTCGGTCTTCCTCGCTCTTACGGATTTTAATGGATGCGAATGAAACTCTGGACAACCTCTTCTTCAAAGGCTAAAAGTTGTTAATGACTTCATCGCTTGAGCAGAGACATTAGGTGCCGATTTTATTAGATTGTCTGATAAAAAGTTCCCTAGTTGCAAATCGTAGAATCTTACCAGCTTGTCTGCTAGCCGCAAGAGTTGGTGATGTGCTGCGACGAGTAAGGGAAGACATTACATTCCCACTTCAATCTCATTGAACCGGAATACACACAGCTCATAGTGTCGATACCCCATGATCCCACTTCAGGTGCAAGGGAATCAGCGATCAAGGTCAGGAGTCGCCCTTTCTTGGTTCCAGGGTGATGCTGATTCCTAGAAGTGTGAGAACGCACATGCGAATAGATTCATAAGCCAATTGCCTACCGGCACAAAGTCGACCCGTCTGCAGTCAGCACACATCACCAAAAACAGGCGCAGCACACGGACACATTGTTTTAGTCGGTTTTGGACAACTGTCCGCTACCTTACTCAAGACTTCATGGGCGAAGCAGATATCGGGAAAAAGTAACAGCTTGGAGGTCAGAACCGGACTTTAACAAAAACCCCGATCGACGCTACGGCTAACCTAGTTGCATACACTTGCATACAGATAGGTCGACACTAGGACCGCCATATTACCGCTTCCGGCACGCATTTCGGGCGTACATCCCTCCCACTGCACAGCCCTACCGGTGCAGGGATCGGACTTTTGCCAAGATCTCTGAAAACTCCGGTCGCTGACTTGGACAACCTCCAGTCCATCATACACGCGGCATCGGACGAAGGACGAGGACATAGCGAACAAGCCTCCCCCCAATGATCAATGCAAGACTTGCTGAGCCTTTACGGAACGCGAATACCCAACACTCTTCCAGTCACATTTCAACGAACTTGACTTCCTCTTATTAAACAAACCTCCGAGAATTGGTCTCCATCGTTTCCCCTCCATCCCACAGCCGTACCACTTACGACCAAGACAGAGTCTTTAATCGGGAAGAACAGCGTCGTTCCGGCGGAGAAGTCAGAGAATTTCCAATATCCGCTCTTCTCATTAGGAGTATTCACAAAGGCCTTTGACAGCCCCGGGTCCGGTCACAGTCTACCCGTAACCATGTCTGCCGCTTCGTCTCCCACTCGATCGACGAAAAGTCCTTCGCCGGAGACCACCCGCGTCCCTTCTGTAGCCAAATGGGGCGCCGCCTGCGCGCCGTGTGCGACGGCAAAAGCAAAGTGTCTTCGATCCAATACGACGCCCGGGTCAAAGTGTGATAGGTACGTTTGCGAGGCACAGTGTTCTTTATGCAGCCATCCCGTCCATGATCTCCCGGGTTCGTTACGCCTGCATAGGGGAGCCGGGGATTCCTTAAGATCTCCGGGCCCGGGGGCGGATCTAGACGTTGTTTGTTCCACGGGAATGGCGTGTGGTGTGGTGGCTACCATGGCTCCATTGCAACCCGCCATGTCTTTGATGGCCCAATGGCGGGAGTGGGAGAAGGACCCTAGGCGGCGCTTGTTGTCAGTTTTGACTAACGGTTGTGTTGTTGTTGCGTGATAGATGTGAGCGGCTCTTCAAGCATTGTTCGGTTCAGATTCACAGGCCAAGGAAGAAGAGGCAAAGCAGGCCGTCGTAAGTCACACTTCTCAATCTCGGACCCGCGTTCAGTCAAGGACGCTGGATGGTTGCTGTCCAGTATGGAAGCAACGCTAAGCCCTATACAAATGGGGGTTGTGGGATACCGAAGATTCTCTGTATCACTCATTCGGACGAATCACTGAGACAAGATATCGCAGGAAAACAACACAGCTTGAAGAGCGTCTCAACCGCCTGGTCAACACCCTACGAGTATCAGGAAACGTGTCCACCCTCCCGAGTGGCCCATCCACCGGCCAGCCAGTGTTGCCTGGCCCATCAAGACACTCATACCCAATCTGCAATCCGCCAGTCTCCCTACTCTCAGGACAACCAATACCGGCGGACTTCTACTCCCAAAGCCGCGTCTCACCTTGGGACGTCGAAGACCTCTCCGACGTCAGGCCCATCAACATTCCCGAGACCTACAACTCCTTCGTGCCCCCGACATGCATATGCAAGCCCGAGCCGGGGGAAGCCCCGCCGCCTCCCGACACGGACGAGAACCTCCTCAAGATTTACCGCACCAAGCTGGCGCCGTGCTTCCCCTTCGTGCTGGTGCCGGATGACGTCTCTGCCACTACGCTCGGCGCGACGAGGCCGTTCCTGATGGCTGCTATACGCATGGTCTCGTCTTACCGAAGCCTGAAGTCGATGCGGGGGCAGATGTATCGTCTCTTGAATCACGTTGCCGACCACATGCTCCTACGATCCGAGAGGTCGTTTGATTTGCTGCTTGGATTGGTGGTTATGCTAGGCTGGTTTCATCAGCATTGCATCGCTCACGCTCAGCTTAATCAGCTTGTCTCATTGGCTACGTGTCTTGTTGGTGAGCTGGGGCTTAAGAGGAGCCCATGTTTGCCGGAGCGGACGAGGTTGTTGGTCATGCGGCCTTGGGAGTTGCGGGAACGGACGAATGAGGAGCGGAGGTTGCTGTTGGCGGTGTGGTATCTCAGCTCATGGTAAGCTTCAATCCTTTTTGGAGGAAAGAAGAGTGGTCGAGCTGACATTTAATCCACAGCATCTCAATGGACATTCACCAGATTGATTCTATGAGATATTCGGGGTACATGCAACAGTGTTTGCGAGAGCTTGAAGATGATGTAGAGTATGAGTCGGATATACATCTCGGATACATCGTTCGGATACAAAGACTCTGCGAGAGGATCTCGGACCTGAGGTCGAAAGACTATCTCGACGAAGAAGGGGATGAGAGTACTCGGGCGCCTCTCTCAGCCTACGTCTCTGGCTTCAGAGCGGAGTGGAACAAACTCCAGACTAGCATGCCCCCTACCTTGAAGAACAACGGTCAGTTTGGCCTCCCCCAAATCACAAGCCGAAGCGAAATACTGACAGACTATAGCCTACCTCCAAGTAAGAATGGCCACCCTACGGCTTCGCATCCACGAACCCCCCAGAATCGACGCCGAGCTCCTCGCCTCCCTCTCAAAATCCCTCGACTCCATCAGCGCAGGCTCTACATCCGCCCTCGACGCCTTCTACCAATCCAACGCAGCCCTCAAAGCCTGGTTCGAAACCTGGCTCTCCGTGCCTCAAGAATTCTTCTATTGCATCCCCATCTCGATAGCCTCGCACATGGTCTACGCCGTTATGATGATGAGTCGCTGGTCCTGGCTTACAACAAGAGGCAAAACGCCGCCCGAGCCGCAGACAGACCCGTCAGACCCGTCAAAGGATAACCCCAATGTTGCACTGGCGGCCATGGAAGCTGCCATCAGCCCCAATACCCCCGCGTCCACGTCAACCCCGTCGGCTGAGACGAAGGGCTCTTCGCCGTGGCAGACGACGTTGCCCGATAAGGATCTGCCTCAGGTGCTGGCTGCGCTCAAGGCGCGTCTTTCTACGCAGCCTGATCTAATGCTTGATGTGGAGGGGTACCTCAACCGAATCGTGGCTCAGCTACAGACTATTGACGCATTGTACTCCGAGATGTCTGTTGACGAGGGTGAGTGGCGCGGCAACATCTGGAGCCTGGGCGCGACGAAAGTCAAGATTGCGATGCTGAGGCAGCAGAGGTGGTCCAAGGTTATTGCCTCGCAGGCGGAGGAGCGGGAGCTCGAGATCCAGGGCGCGGGAGGCGAGCAGCTTGGGCTTGGTGAGATTGAGATGCAGGAGAACTTCCTTGCCTCGTTGCAGATGCCCGAGTGGGATGCGAGTATGGTCTGGGATCCGCACACTTATTATGATCCCATGCCTCAGGACCCGGCGCTCTGGAGTGAGGTTGCTCCCGGGGATCAGGACTGGGGGACGATGGGGTCGTTGGGACACATGCCGGAGGGGAGATATATGTAACTTGTGTGGCTTGTAAGATAGAAATGTGAGAGTAGCTGTCTAGATCTCAACGAAGCTCATGATTTTGTGAAATCTGGCATCGTGTCAAACCAGTCAACTAAGGTGCCTAAGACAAGGTTGTGGATAGAGGACTCCATCAGGAGATGTGAATTATGAGAGGTACATATTCCA